CATATATTTGGGAATTTTAGTGGCTCAGGATTTACTTTTCTTAGCAGTCAGAGTTCAACAATTTTAAGAGGCCAATCACTACTTCACATTACACATACAAAATATAACAAGTTTTGCATTATATTGTAGAAGTTGCTGCATTGCTCAGTAGTTGGAATGGCTTTTGTCTGTACATAAAAATACACTCACAGGAACTGCTGTACCAGGTCAGACCAGAAATCCTAGCTCAGTTACGCGTCTCAGGTATCAGCGAGGAATGATACGTAGAGTGTAGGAAATAGGAAACGTGCAGAGTGCGGTCGCTAGTTCAAACTGCTAATACTCGATGAAATTTCACTTACCACTTTGCCACTACTTACAGAACCCGCGGCTGCTGGATGACGTCAGCTTCCATCCATGTATTCGGTTCAAACGCTGGGAGTCTGAGAGAGTCCTTTCATTTATTCCTCCCGATGGGAATTTCAGATTGATCTCCTACCGTGTCAGCTCACAGAAGTATGTTTCTGTTTAGACACGCTGGTTCTTCAGACAAACCATCTACCGCTTTCCATCTGAGTAACTGCAGATTTCTCCTTGCTATGGGGGGAATTTGCGTTGTTGCTAAAATGCATGTTCTCGGGTTTTGTCTCATCTGTTGCTCTGTCTGCACTAAAACAAGAAAATGTTTTTTTCAGTGAGCTGCTGATAGTCAGCAATCATTTTTCAGTGGGATAAACCACACGTGACAGTAACATAGGGCTCTTCGTTCCTGGTAGTCATTGTTACTGCTGGATGCTTTGTGGCTAAGTCTCTGTGTGCATAGAGGACTCTGATTTTCATAAAAAGAATAAAGCAAAAAAGTCTAAGCTGCAGAGATTTGCAAACTAAGTCTGATTTGACTGGTGACTGTTCTGAGAATTGGCTCAGTCAGTGAGACTACTTCAAAAAAATAAACATACGGAGGGAGAGACATCGGGACAAGTGATTGGGGGGAAAATCTTTCTTTCATGTGATTTCTCTGGTAATAAAATCACTTCAGCAATGATGTTGAAGAGCCAAGTATCACTTTTCACTTTTGAAACAAACTGGTTCTAACTTGAATACCTGCCAGAAATACAAGAACTATTTATGAGAAGGAGCTTTATTTTCTCGAGCAGAGAAGTAGCCAGGATGCATTCAGCTGCTGTCTTCTCTTTTCAGCTTGGTGGCAATTCCTGTATATGTGAAACACATGATCAGTTTTAAGGAAAACAGTTCTTCAGGAAGATTTGACGTTACCATTGGACCAAAACAGAATATGGGGAAAACAGTGGAAGGAGTTGTCATGACAGTTCACATGCCAAAGGCCGTACTTAATATGAACCTCACTGCTACACAAGGCAGCTATACATTTGACCCAGTTACTAAAGTAAGTCTTAAGTTTTTATTTATTCAAATATGTAAGACAACATTAGAACAAGTCATACGTATGGCAGAGCACTGGAGCAGCATTTCACACTTAACAGAAAACTTTCCCTTCAGCATATGTTTATGAATTCAAATCTTGTCTTTAAAATTTACTTTTTCAAACTTAGATACACACCAGTTGTGATTTCTGGTTTTATCAGCCTCCTTTCCCTTCCCCTGTCCCTTTCCTTCCTCTCTTTTCCCCTGTTCCTTCACCCCCCTAATATTTTTCTTCAGTTGGATGCAGCAGTTCTTTGCTGGTGGTTTCAGCTACGGTATATTTTGCAATCTATGTTCTTTAAAAACATACTTGTTTGGAGAAAATGCAGTAGACTTGAAAATAGGTAGCGAGAAAAACAGGCAGTGAGAGATGAGAAAAAAAACTTCCAAAAGATGTGCCTGACGATGCACAGGAAGGAAAACAAAGGGTCTGAAAGAGCATGTGTTGGGAGTCCTGCTTTCTTGCCTCCAAGTTGGGGTTTGAGACCTAAATTTCCTAAGCTCCTGAAGCTTTTTAGTACCCAGGAACCATTTTGCTGAAATGCAGTCTGAGCCAAACCATTCTGCTGGCTCTAACACCCTGCTCTGAGCTTTCTGCTGCCCTTGGAATATCTCAGTCAGCAATTGATTTGAATTGTAAGTGAAAGCTCTCCAAGTAACATTTTGTTTCAAAGAGAACAGACCTTGATCTTCTAAAAACAAAAGCACCAACAAAAACACTTGAAGTCTCCTTTCCTCTCTGCAGAAATAAATTATACTGTGTTTTTATCAAGAGTTGGGATAGCGAGGCAGACTGTAACTGCAAAAGTTTGCAGAAGTAGGGAAAACTGAGGTTTTTCTGCATTTATCAACAATTTTCAGTATATGATAAGAACAAAAAGAAAACTCTTGTGGGTGACTGAAGGGCCAACTTGGTTCCATGTATTTTCTTTAAAATGTAAGAATCAACGGGAAACAAGTGACCCTTAGGAAAGTTACACTAGCTTAAACATCTCCTTTTGCCAAGCGCCTTGCTCCTGTCCTCCTCATTCTCATGTTTAAGTTCCTATGACCTTTGTGCTGGTCACTCTGCTTGCTTCATGGATGTACCTGGCCCAGTCTGACAAGAGGAACTGTCACCATTGCTAAGGGAACAAGATGTATTAAGTGCACAGACCAACTAAGAAAGGCTGGTAAAGAAAAGACACCGTACCTGCTGGAGCCCTAACTATGCCATCTCCCAGCCCGTGGGATAATTCTCAGGGCCACCAGGCAAACTTCTGTACCCAGCCTGCAAAGTAAAAGCTTGACATGAACTTGACCTCATAGGTTGTTACCTAGAAAGCTACTGCTACTGTTCTCTCTTTCCTGACAAGGTGTTAACGTGGGATGTTGGCAAAATTACCCCTCAAAAGCTACCAAACCTGAAGGGCATGGTGAACCTGCAGTCTGGAGCTGCCAAGCCAGAGGAGAATCCAAGTTTAAACATCCAGTTTAAGATACAACAGCTTGCAATTTCAGGTGAGTGGGTAGGCGTTACATGAAATTGGTACCAACAGAATGAGTAGCAGTAGGAAATGAAGTGGGAAACTGTTAATCTTTTAATTGGAAATGCTGATCTGAAGTCAGCTTGGTCCAGAAGGGTAAAGTCTGATTTACCCAAACTTGACAGGTGCCCTTGCTGGAAGACTCCCTTGCTGGGAATTGTGAATTCCCAATTGTTTTACTGAAGAGAGCCTGTGAGAAGGGTACAGAAGAATGGATTTTTCTTTGTTGACTTCTGCATTAAACATGCAAATTTATCCTTTCAGTGAAGAGTGATGGATGATGAGTTAGCATGCTGCTCTTAACTTGCTTTAGCCTTGTAACACTAAAGCCCTTTCTAGCAGTCAAAAGCTCCATTAATTTTAAAGAATGCCCTTCTTATTCTTTCCTTTGGAGGCAGTTAGTTTTTTATCTTCAATCTGCAAGTAAGACTGGAATGAAGTCTGTAAGTGCAAAAGTAAATGTAAAGCAAACAAGGCCTCAGTCTGCAAACACTTGAATCACGTGAGTTGTCCATGCGTAAAATGCTTCTGCAAGCAAGCTTTGCAGGATTAAGACCCTAGCAGAGTGAAGACTCACATTTGGAAAGGAGGAGGATGACTGAAGGCAGTAGGTGAGAATTGGTGGTATCACACGTAGCACCTTTCTAGGTAGGCACCAGGCTGTGGTCCTTTTGCTTCTTCGACTGCTTTGCTGAGTAACTTAATGGTTAGTCCTTGTGCAAGAACAGAATCCTGCAGCTTGCAACCCACTGGTCTGAATCTAGCAAAACATAGTGGATCCCGTGGCTGGATGCCAGAGATAACGGACCTGTGAGAAAGCAGGGGACAACCTGAAACGGTTAGGTAGCTAATAGCTACTGGCATTCCTCAATTAGTAGCAGAGGGAATGCTGGTCCTTGCAATTACAATTTAGAGTGAAAAGAATTCTAAACTTGTCCTTTGCTTCATCTGTGTTATTGGAAAAGAGCGCAGTGTAGAGGAGCTGCGGAAGACAGGCTCATTTGTTCAGTAGTTCATCCCCTGGAAGGAGGCTGTTGGCTCACAAAGCAGAACAGAAGAAAGTTGTTGCCCTGCCAGGGCAGCTATGAGTAGGTGACAAGAACGGTCTCTTCTGTGGTTTCAAACCAGATGAACTTGTGAAAAGAAGGAAAATCAGCTTCCTAACCCATCTTAACATGCTTCAAGAAAACAGGACTTTTGAACAGCCTGCCATGATTTCTACAATTCTGCTTTTAACTCTGTACTCAATTTTGTCTTTTTCAGGACTGAAGGTGAATCGCCTAGACATGTATGGAGAAAAATACAAGCCTTTTAAAGGTGTCAAATACATTACAAAAGCAGGAAAATTCCAAGTCAGGACATGAGGAGATGCTCTACTTCCAAGAGGAAATTCCCCTTAAAAAAAACTTGACTGCTTAGTGACTTATGTTGCTATTAATTAGGTGCCAATTAATTAACAGACACTGATTAGTTTGGGAATCAAAACATTTGTGCACAGCAGCTCTTAAAATGAAAGCGTAGCTTAGTTTTTCTTAATATGGCTTTAAAATAAGGTACTTTTTTTCTAATACACCTTCACTCTTTTTTTACTGAATTGTTGTGCTGGTGAATAGTTTGATAGAGGTGATCCACGGAACGTCGCAAACACCACACTGCCAGGCAGATACCAAAGCCCAGAGGCCAAGCACATTACGAAGGCCAGACTGGCCGCTGGAGAAGTCTTGCGGTGGCACGTTCTGCTGCTGCAGCGCCTGCAGAGAAAGCTCGGCTATTCTCACGGCCAGCTGCAAGCTGGTATTCCACAAAGCATCGCGTAATCCCTTCAGAACTAGAGCGGCAGTGAGGGGGCAGGGGTCCCACAGGGGCCTGGGGCATAGCAAGTGCCACTCCCAAGAAAGAGCTTCTGATGAAGAAAAAAATAATTTCCTTGTTGTTTACAAGAAATCGCCTTTCTTAAGAAGCATTTGCCTTAATCAGCTTTCATTTGTGCCATCTGCAGATGAGCTGATAAAAATAACATTCTGCATTAGATCTGGGAGGTGATTGTCGCTTCAGTAATCCACTTTCTTGCCATTCAGTGTCATCATCGCCATCATTTTTTGTAAGACAACAGTTGCAGAGAGTAAGATCTATTTTTTATGTGAAGCCTTTGCTTTGATTTAGATGTTCCACTTGTTCGAAGTGGATGCCACCAGATTTGTGCCACATGTACATTGGAGTGTAGCTTTTTAGATAGCACAATAGAAGTGTCAAGCGTATTTAATGGTTGTGTGCTTTAATGTTATGAAATAAAGGGAACTCTACTGCAAATACATCTTCTCTTGTGAAGTGTTCGCAATATTGTAAAATATTCGTGATGCTTTTAGTCAGGAGACATCTGATATACAATTAAATGATGACTATTTGCTACATCTTTGCTGAACTTGATCACTGTGCAGCTATTTAAGGTTTAGAAAGGGCATTTAGGAGCACGGCAGGTAAGCTCCCTTTCATATTTTTTATTTTTAAATGGAGAACAATCAATGTTTAGATTACAATGTTTCAAAGACACAACAGTGGTGATGCAAAGCTGACCAAACTTTTTCTTATAAACCAATACATGCTCCGCAGTACCCGTCAGGGTTCAAACCGTACAGCTGGTCAGTACATGGTAGGCTGAGAAACCCAAATTCAGAATTAAGGAAGGGTGGGAGACCAGAGAATCTTTGTTTCCCTGACCTGTTTGGCTCACAAATTGATGAATAGCTGCTAACTTCAGTTCCTATTCCTCACCTGAAGCAGAGTCATTCAGCAGTCAAAATTTCAAGTACTGGGACAAAAAATGATCCAGTCTGAAAAAAGGAGGGGGAACCCATCTGAACACTGGCAGCAAGCCAGTAAGGAAAGAAATCAGCCCCTACGCTCTACTGGTAACTTTGGTAATCTCGCTGGAGACATCTGGGCCACAGCCAGCCATTCTGAATTTCTGAAATGACAGTAGATGAGATAAAACAGCACTCTCAAGAACCAGCACCTATAAGAAAGCCTTGCATTTGTGTAGACACGACATTTTTGCTATTGAAAGCTACCAACCTTCTAGTCTACCTTTTTCAACTGGAGAAAGATCCATCAACTCATCCTACAGTTCCCACTCCATCTTTCAGCATCTTTCAGTTACAGTTATTTTACTAGAATTTTACTCTGTAACTGGTAACATCCCAAGCTTAAGCCTGAGAGCTAGAGCCGCTCTCTGCATCAGCAGCCTGGAAACGCCGCAGGATCTCCATTGGGAACCGACGCCGTTACTGACACAGAACATAACGCAATACCAAATCGGGCCAGCCCTAACACCCACGCCTCCCCGCAGCATGGCACAGGACAAGCCTTGCCAACCTTCTGTAACTCGGGCACCAGGGAAGCGTGCACAAAGCTGCCATCTCTGGAAAAGCCTTGATCCGTACTTCACAGCGCGCCAAGTCGCTGTCAACAAGAATTACACTCACCTGGTAGGAAACCACCTGGAGCATGAAGATGGTTTTCGTCAGGGAAATGGGGTTACTTGTGCGAGGCTTAAACCGTTTGCTGTAGGTGTGCTGGCTCCTGCCGTTTCTCCAAACAGGAAACTCGGCTGCAGAATCTGCAGACGGGGGGACTGCGTCCGTATTCTCCCCTGTTAAAAAACCCTGCACCGGCACCTGTATGAATATTGCAGCTTCAGAAATCCGAGGGTGTCATTACTGAGGAATGAGTACGGCCGGTGTCTGGGCTCCCCGTCTCTTGGTGTCCCGCTCTGGGAGTGCTGGCAAAGGTGATTGTCTCTTGGGTTCTTGTACTCTCAGGTATGGAGAGAACCATGTGAACAGTATGAAATCTGGATTTTTACCTATTATTACTAAATCCCAGGTGCCTTCCAGCACTGTGAGACTATGCTCGGTCCTACAGCACCAATAAATGTTGGTTCCACAAAGTCAGAACATTGTGTGTGCTGGTAGAACTTTTTAACAAGAAAAAAAAAGAGTTTATAAGAGGTTCTTACCATGAAGGAATGAAGGAGACCGGACAGTGATTCCATGCTAATCGCCCTTGCATTCAATTTGTGAAGTAAAATTCAGATTAATGAGGTGTTGGCCAGAGTAGCAGTTCTTCCCTTATTGACAGGATCAGGCAAATCCCATTTCAAGTTCTCAGAACCCTGTTTGGTGCTACTAGAGGAGATGACTGTCAGGCCGCTGGAAAAACTCCCGTTTTCTTCCACGGGACCACAGCCTCCAGTCAGTTCTTTAGTTACTAGCTTTACAGGCACAAAAGACAGAAAACAACTTGTTTTAATCTTCACCCATTTGAGGAACTTTGCACTTTTTTCTGTTCAGAATGTGTCACGACAACTGTTCTTTTGCTTTAGCACTGCTGCTGCTTTCGCTTTTGGCTCGTTACGGTGTTCCCCACCGCTCCATTACCATTAATACTCACGAGCTGACATTTGTACAAATGCGTTTTTATTTTTTTTAACAGAACCAAAGAAAGGTTGAAAACATTAGACTATACAATACATTTTGGTTTATAAACAAAGTTTGATAGTGGTAAAACATTTCTAAGTGACATTCATGGTCTTTGTCAAATTTTTGCTGCGTTTCAGGTCTGAAGACTAATAGTGTTCAAAAAAGCAGTAATAGCATAAGGTGGACAAGTATTTTAGCTTGTACAAAACAGTTCGAGAACTTACAGCAAACATTCTGGAAGAATATCAAAGGCAACCATGATTCGTAACTTTTCCTGCAAACATTCCTCGATAAACAAAAAGTGATCTTTGGCATAAACAATCATGTATTAAAGGCATTAGTAATATTGCATTAATATCAGTCAAGCAACTAAACAGTGATGCTAAAAAGAAAATCTCAGAGAAGCCTGAACTGGGGGGGGGAGGACACGTGAGGAGCATTGAAAAGTAATACAGGAAGACTATTTAGAAAATCCCTTAAAAATAACCCCTACCTATTCAGTGTTATTTACTATTAAATAGAAATTACTACATTACAATTACGTTAAAGATCTGGTATAAACCAACCAAATGCAAGACATTCAGGTTAAGGCTCTGGTGCCCCTTCCTTCCTCCTCCTGTGGCAGGGAGCTGCAGGAAGAGAACTCGTAAGGAGAGACCCTAAGTACCACGCGTGTCGCAATACCCAGACACAAGGAGTGAGGTAACGACGAACGCGTGCTTTCTCTTGCCAAGGTCAGTTTGAGGCAGATGTATTCTGATCAGTTTAACTTCCCTTTTTAGATAACAGTGCAATGAAGGGGGGTGGAGGGGAGGAAGTCCAACTGTAGAGTAACTGTTGCAGACAGGTAAAGGACAGCTGGCTCTATCGTGTGTCTCTTCAAGCTGTTAAGACTGAGCAGTTTTTCCACAAGGGCACTTCTATTACAGGTGGTTTCATCATGCAACAATTTTCAGCAAATTAAGAGGGCATCGTGAGGTCCAGTGCTGATCTGGGCAGAAGGCTGCAAGCATTCCTTGCCTACGTGCAGACACTCATTCTAAAACAGTAATTCTCCTTTCTGTCAAATGCCAAAAGAGACTACGGAGCAATTAAATTAATGTGTGTGTGTGTCTGTGTGTATATATATACATATATATGTATGTAAAGGCATGTTCAATTATGGAAGGATAAAAGCATCCCTAGTCTATTTTAGTACTAGAGGGGCGGATTATGTAGAGTTTGTTTGGGGTGCTTTTTTAAAGATAGAGTAGCACTTTGTTCAGTTCACTACTACTAGAACTAGAAATAAAGATTTTGAGCCTCCAAACTCCAAATGTCAAAACCAGTAACAATACCCTGGTACGTTTAGCATTAGGAACCACTGTTAGCTGGTAGCCATCCGAGTACCTAAAAAGGGTTCCCTGTCCCTGCAGCACTTGGGTTTCAAAAAGCTTATGCATTGTTGGAAACAAGGGCAGCAAGGCAAAAGGTCTTTTTTAGTTGAGTATCTTTACCTTTTGCTTTCCACCCTGAGTGGCTGGAATAACATTAGATGGAGGGAAGAGGGGGAAAAAAAAAGAGTAATTCCATGTGCTCCTTTGGTTTTCCAAAGGAGAGAGCCAGCATGTGGTATTTGCTGGTCCTGGACACGCAGCTAGCTTAAGAGAACTAGGATTTTTCAGCTAGATACATTACGGAATTGAGCAAGAAGGAAAGAGTTCCATGATTTCCTGCTGTAAGGCTCAGGCCATCAGTGTGCCACTAACATTCACTGCAAAGCGCTTCAGTACAGTACAAGAGTTCTGGAATGCCTACCTACAGGGTGACAGGAGGGTGACAAAGACAGCTCCAGTTTTGGTTAAAGTACTGTTGCCAGGCAAAAATCAAAAGCAAAAAAAATACCATTTCGGACACGGAATTTTAATGATCAATTTACAACTGTTCTGCTGCCCGCCCCCCTTTAATTAAAAACCCCACACCTTCCATCATTTCTGCATGGTTTAAGAACAGCCAGCTAAAATCCTGTTGAGAAGTTGAATGTTTCTATCAATGATTGTCCCTAAAAAACTGCCAAGTAACCAATAGTGTCCTAGACTCTCAACATAAGCTTAAAGTGAGGTCCATGGTTTATATCATCATGTGGCAACTACTGGAATATACAGTGCATAAATGAAATGTGCTTCTGGGAGTACAGAATTCATTAAAAGAATCTTCAAAAGAAAAAAAAAGGATAAGAACTGTCTACTGTCGGAAGCAATTTTGAGGTGTTTGATATCAAAAGCGTTCCGAAGACATCTGAAATGCATTCTCTTATAATTCATACCCTTAGAATGGGGCATTAGCATAAGCTAATCTTAAGCTTATGTATACAGCACCTTTTGCTGTTAATATATCTCTTCTGTTTCAAAAAAAAAAGGCATTTTATGTTACAGGAAGTAATACTTATGTGGCAAGTGTTTACTGATACCATGGGGTCTTTCGGACCCAGCGAAGAGTGAATCCAGCATCTGTTCTTATCTTAATGGATGCTGCTTCAGCTTCTCTCACAGTTTCCTTCACAGACTGCATGAGATTCTGGGCATTATGAACCAACATCTCGGTTGCCTGTCAAGAAAATTAAAGATTTCCAGTGTGTTAGTAAACGTTCAGGACAGCAGCATGGAAACCCGTTATGCATGTGGACTGCCAGTGCCAGCATTCAGTCAGTCGATCGCTGACTTAAACTGTGAAAAAGTAAATGAAACAACTAGTCTCTGGAAACTAGCAAGTGTTATCCTGACTCGCAACAAGACTTTTCCATTTCTCACTGTGTATTTGTGCCAAGCCTGAATAAAAGCTTAGCGTCACATAGTAGAATCATCTCTCTCAGAAGGCAAAAGTGCAGGACTTCAGCTGAAAACGTGCATTTGGAAGCTAACAGAACTGCAAGATAAGTATACAAGATGCTGTTGGAGAATAAGAATTTTCCCTACGATCCACCAGAGGGTGCTACTACTCCTCCAGTGGCAAACCTGCCGGATTTGTAGCAGCGCATTCCTTCATTAGCTCACTTATTTATTGTTAAATTAAGGAGATTAAGAAGTTGCTCATACAAACATTTGAACCGGAGGAGCTTTTTGTCTTGGGAAGGATTGGTGTTCCTCTGTTAAACTGTAGCTTTCGAGCCAGAACCCAAGGCACTATACTGGAATTACCTTCACTAAACAGCTGAGGTAAGCTTCCAAACACTGAGTGCCCAGAGCACATCTGGTATTACACATTGTCTGTTTTTCCTCATGAGACTGAACAACAATTCCACACTACCATCGATTTTTACACCTCTTACCTGTTCTGACTCTTCATCGCTGATATTAGTTCTGCCCAGCATGGTAGCTTTGACAGTGGAAAGAATTTTGAGTTGCGTACTGATGGTTGGGATTCGCTCACAGACCTAAGGAGTGGGGATAAAAAAAAAAAAAACACCACTTTATATGGTAAACTGCACCAATACATTACCAATTATTTTTTAAGATGAATTCTTTGATTTTGTTTTACTATTAGATAAGGTATTAATAACCACAGAAGGGATTTTATAACCTTCAAGACTTTCTGGCAAACATTGGTAGAATACTTGAATCTTATTTTACTTGTTTGGGGAATTTTTGGGATGGACATTTTTCCTTTCCTCCAGATATCCCTCAAGGGTCTGCTTTGTTAGCAATGGGATGACATATGTTTGGCTGAGACTGAAAAACTAAGGGGTGTTGTGTTTTCACTACTATTCTTAGATACAAAAGGAATGAGCAGATGAAATAGAATGCAATGCAGGCTTAGGACAGGCCAGTGTTTGTAGCACAGTATTTTTCAAAACCTCTCTGGCTACTAACATCTTCCACGCACCTGTGAACAAATCCCGACTTCAGAGAATATGTATTACCAGGGGATCTAAAAACAGACATAGAACTTGACAAACCTTTACAAGCCCAGGAAAGATCTACATGATGTACTGCCACAACTCCTGTGCTCACTCACACTGAGAGAGGAACAAAGCAGGGGGGCGAGGGGGAGAGGTATTTGTGGCATTTACAAGTTCAGTCATTACCTGCAAGAGGTTTGTTCTAATGCGCTTGTCAGTGCACTGCTTTGCCACCTCTTTGGCCAATCGAGTGACTTCGTCTGATGCCTTAGCAATATCCTTTGCACACTGAATAAGGGCACGCTTGTTCCCACTACCTCCTCTCACCAGGCGCGACATCTCTGCCATGAGCAGCGCCATTCGTTTAGCAGCAGCAATGATGTCATTACCCTGAAGAGAACAACATGAGTTAGTGTTCAAGCTAAGACAAAAGCTTCACAGAAGTCACGACTGAACAGCAGTCTATGTTTTGGTAGCAACCCTTTCAAGAAGTTAGGGATGGAAGAACCATTTGTGAACACAGAAGAGGTTTCTTCAAGGAACAGGGAAGATCTGTACTAATTATGTGTTTCTGGCATTTTTCTTCCTAACACTCAGGAGAAAAGTTTGCTTCAAAACTGGAAAAGAAGTGGTAAAGAAAAGTGTTAGTTTGTCCATGGAATGAGAGTTACTGCTCTGCTGGCTAGGTTTTAAGATAAAGCATGTTATTAGTGTTTGAAATTCCAGATTTCCAAAAAAAGGCTTTTTAAAATTAAAATAAGTGTGCCAAATAGCTTGTTAAACCAAATAGCACTAATTAAGTTAAATAGTGTAGTCATAACAGTTGAGCATAAAACTTTCAGATGCCACTGAAGTTGTTACATCATCAGCTATGCTGCTGTAATGCTAAAGAAATGGAAGAGAATCTGTGACATACAAAACTTTTGTTGCTGGTAACTGGAAGTGAGATGAGACTGTTTGGGTTTTGTTTTTTTTTTAAGTTGTTCATTGAAAATTATTCTTCCTTTTTGACAAAATCTCTCCCTTTAAAATAAAGCTTCCAGGAGAGAACTTGATAGTTCAAAAGGTAACCAAGTGATATTTCATACATGAAAATCCAGATTTCTTGTATGAAGTGCATCAAAATTACAGTCACAGAAATACTTCTGAGAAATATTTGAAACATGTGAGTTAAGTATGACCAAGGCAAAACCATTTCTTATGCACTGTTCCAGAGAGAAACCTAGTGCAAGGAGAAGCAGACCTCGATGATCAATTGTTAGTATCCTGTTAGTATGTTTACATTCACCTTTATAGGAAGTTACAAGACGGAAGTGAACTATTTGGTGCCATGAAGCATTCCTATTGTGTGGATGAAGTATCAGCAGAGTGAGTTTAAGTATTAGCACGCTCTTTCCTCGGTGTAATTCCACAATTAATGACCAATGAAGTTGTGAGCAAAGAGCACACAGTGAGAACCCAACTTAGCAAATGTAATCTCTACCCCTGCGCACATACTTCCATGACTGACTACTAGCAAATTCAAGAGATATCTCAGACATTTTACAGATATAGGTGACAAAAAGCTGAACTATTCATTACCGTGACCTAATAGCTAAACAGTTTGCTAGTATAACCAGTTAGGATGCAAATGGCATAACACAAAGCTTTTCCATGTTTTCACGTAGAAGCATCAAGAAATTAGGAGCACTGTCATTTACGAAGCCCTCTAACAAGTTATCCAAGCATCAGAATCTGAAAAGGACAAGAACATTTTTAAAGCCCTTTTTATTAAAATAGTTTAGTATCTCTATCTATGTAATTACATACACACACACATATACATACACACACACCGCTAACCTTTGTTTGTTACGGGACACCAACCTTATTTTTTGCAGCATGCTATAAAAAGTGACCAGTCTTGCAGACATTTGTGCTTAGACAGAAGAGACAGGCTACTTGTGAATGTCTGAACCTTGAGTTAGGTTTCCACTGGTTTTGTATAAACAATCTCAGTTCAGCAGCTAACAGCATTCAGTGCAGCTTCTTCATTAAAGAACTCTCTCAAGACCAGCATTTGCAATACAGCCAAGTGCAAGCCAGCAGTCAGTCCTCTTGGATGAACACTGCCATACAAAGCCATTCCTTGTTGGAAGGTATTCTAACTGATGGCATCAATGGAGGCAAAGCACAATAGACATGTTAAATGACTTCTTGAATGCTGTATACTCGGCTGTATCTGGAAGTCATTAAGAAACCATTAACCATGGCTTCCCAGGTAGCCCAAACAAATAGAAAAAAGAACAGGGGAGAAGGAAGACAACTTCTACTACAGTTTGAAAACTGCCATAACAAAGAAGAACAGGCAGATGCAAAGGCAGAGGAAGCCTTTAAATATTAATAGGTGACCCAAATCAAGCTTCAATCCAGCACTGACAAACAGATCTAGCAAACTTGTGAAGCCACTCTCAGTCCTTAAAATGAAGTGCAGACACACTTATTCATTCAGAATGGCGGGGCCCAGCAGGGATCAAGAGTGATGCAAATGTGTCAGCATTCCAAATGGCTGGATGCACACGGATCAGTCCCCGGGGAGACTCAGGAGTACCTTACTAGACCACTTGGTTGCTTCCCGATGTAGAGACTGAGCAGCAGCCAGAATGGGCTGGTTAACAGGCTGATTGGTTGGCATTAACAGCAG